ATTTTTCAAAAATAATAAAATCGGTTTATGGCTACTATTTTTCTTGTTTCTGGAGTCTTTGGCAATCTCATGGGAGGTTTAAAAGTCATTAAAGAGACAATCAGCTTTTAGCACCGTGAGATTTGAAGAGAAGTGACAGATCTGTGACATTGTGGATGTCACACAGACTCTGCCTGTCTTTAATTATTTCATTTGTGCCATCAGGTTTAAATATTTTTTCTACATTTCCCTTTTAGTTTTCTGTCATTACAGGAGTAGAAGGAGGAGGAAGAAAGCTGGGAGAAAGGGGGAAGGAGAGAGAAGAGGAAGAAGAAGGAAGGAGGCCTGAAAAGTAGGATCTAGTTCAGTCTAGGGGTCAGTGCTCAGCTTGTTCACCTCTCTCTGATGCTGACAGCCTGCTCTGCTCAGTGCTTTGCATCTTCAACAGAAAAACCTAAAAACCAAACATTAAAATACTCCCAGGGTCAGGAGTCACAGCACCACAAGCACCTGAGGGCCACAGGTGGGGCAGGAAGTTCCCCACATCCCCCTGGGGCAGAGGGGATGCTGAGAGAACAGGTGTCCCCTGGGGCCGTGCTCACAGGTTTGGGGTGATGTCACAGTGGTGGTGCCCCTCAGGCACGAATTTTAATTTCTCCTTCTTTTCCTTATGGCCCATCTTTCTTGCTTCCATCCACCTCTGGCTTCCTGTCCCTGTGGTTTAATTCCTCCCTTTAAAACTTCTTATTCTTTAACATACTGAAAAGTTCTATTAATTTATATAATAACTGAGGGTTATTTCCAAATAACCCTCTTCATCTACTGTACTATACACAGAATTTTAGAAGGTAAGGAGTTCTGAATACAGATACATACAGCTCTTGAACATGCAAATATAACTTTTGTACATATACATTTATAAATTAAACATAAAGGCTTTGAAAATGTAAGAAAATGGGTTCTATAAGGAGGAAATTGAGGTTTCTGTTTTTTTTCCTGTCTAACAAAGTTAGGCTGAGATTTTGGATCGTTTAAATCACTGCTGCCGCCTGGCGGTGAGGGTGAGGAACTGCAGCGTCCTGAGGGCTCGCTGGTGCTCCCTCCTGGGCAAAGGTGGTACTGCAGGGACACAGGTACAGTGACAGCGGGGGCTCACTGCTGACCCCAGCACGGTGACACTGGGGGCTCACTGCTGTCCCCCAGCACAGTGACATTGGGGACTCATTGGTGTCCCCAGCACGGTGACACTGGGGACTCATTGGTGTCCCCAGCACGGTGACATTGGGGATTCACTGCTGTCCCCAGCACGGTGACACTGGGGGCTCACTGCTGTCCCCCAGAACAGTGACACTGGGGACTCATTGGTGTCCCCAGCACGGTGACACTGGGGGCTCACTGCTGTCCCCCAGAACAGTGACACTGGGGGCTCACTGCTGTCCCCCAGCACGGTGACACTGGGGGCTCACTGCTGTCCCCCAGCACAGTGACATCAGGGACTCATCAGTGTCCCCACTACAGTGACACTGGGCACTTGCTGCTGTCCCCTGGCAATTAAAAATGGAGCTGGAGACAAGAAACGAGCACATGCAGCGTTCCTGAGCAAACCTGCCATGGGTGCAGCCGCACAGGTGAAGATCCCAAACCAGGGGTGGTGACAATAAGGGACAGGGGAGCTTCTTTTTACAGAAAGGGTGAGACCAGAGGGGTGTGGTGGCCCCAGAGACCTGAGGGCAGCTGGGGTGGGGCAGTGAGGGCCCCACAGAAGGTGTGGGGTCTGCACTGTGTGGAGGTGTGGGCTGGCTGGTGGGAGATGCCACATCAACATGGCAGCTCTGGATGGCCCTCAGAGTGTGTCACACCCAAGAGGGGCATGGCCAGAACTCAGAGTGTGTCACACCCAAGAGGGGCATGGCCAGAACTCAGAGTGTGCCACACCCAAGGTGCTGGCACAGAAGTCAGTTTTGGCATTGCAGGCTGGAAGTCCAAGTTGGTCACCTCCAACATGGCAGGGCAGGCCAAAAGTCATTGGTACCACACTCAATGTGGTGGAAAGAGCCAAGTGTCACAGTGCCACACTCAGGGTGGTGATGGGACACGGTGGCCCTGTGGTCCCAAACTCAAAGTAGCAGCTGCCCAGGAACCCCTGGGCCATCAAACACCCACGTGTCTTGGGGACAGTGGAGAGGTGGCCCCCAGGAGTCCAAGGCCACACAGAGCCATCAGTCCTGGCAGCTTTTGTCATTCCCAAATCAGGATTCTGCCTCCTAAAATCTCACACATCCAAGGATTGCTCCCACACAGCACCTGTGAGGACTGAGGGCCAGTTGTTATTTTCAGGTATTCCCTTCACTTCATAGGGTTCCCCATCACACAGAGGACACTCAGATATCCTCACAAAAAGGCAGAACTGTTTATTATCATCCAGATGTTCTGTGAATAACCCACTGTGTCATCTACAGACACAAAACCTCAGAAAGATGGATATTCTCATGTATCCAAATAACTAAAGGAAAAAAAAGTCATCATACAGACTTGGCCATGATTCTGAGTCACTCTGCTGTCCTGGAGATCCACAGATCCCAGAAGAGCAGATGAATTTCAAATTTTGGCCAATATAAAAGTTTCCCTGCTGCCAACTTCCATCCCAACACCACCCTTCCTGCCTTGCTGTCACAGCCCCCATGGTCACCCTTCTGCTGCCACGTTCCTCAGCAATGATTTATCCACAAAATGCCCCAAAAGCTACAGAGGGGTCCATCAAAAACCATCTGAACTCCTGGTGTAAGGCAGGAAGAGTCCCAGGAGCTGAAGTCACCAGTGTGGTTTTCCCATAAGGGATCCCAGCAGGATCCACAGGGACCCAAGTGGCATCCACAAGTTCACAGAACAAGTTGAACACGAAAACAACACAAAAAAGTTCTTTTGCTGAAGGGCAGGATTCCACATAGGAAGTGTATGGGGTTGGCTGTGGTTTTTGGGAAACTCACCCATATTCCCATCAATTTATAGAGGTCTGACATTTAAAAAAGCAACAAAAAAAGCTGGGTGCCCCTTGAATGTCTACACACTGTGAGTGTATCACCTGTCACTCCAGGGTTAACAAATTTGTTTCACTGCCCTGGAACATCACCACAAAGAGATTTCAGAATTATTTTTAACAGCTCACAGCACGAACCAGAAATTTAAGCCTTGGAAAAACAAAATTTTCCCTTTATTTATATTGCACCTGTTTCACAAAGAGCTACATGGCAGAAGTTCCTTCTGCTGCAAAAATGCTGCATCAGAAAAAAATGGGTTTGAACACAGATGAGAAAGGAAAACTGAGCTTTGGAAATCATCATGAGTTGACCCCAAAATACCAACACTATTTTTACAAATCACTGTGCACTTACAAAGCCTAAGTCTTGCCTCAATTTTATTTAGCATTCAGTTATTTAAAAACCACAAGCATTTTACCAGATGATAAAGATACCCTTACCACCACTGGGTACTAAAATTGAACCTGGAGGGGGAATATTTTTAAACTCTCTTGAAAGAGCACCAAATACTCTTTGGAACTACCAACAGAACACCCACGTGGAGTGGGGAGAAATTGGTTTTCTTATTTCCACAACTACCCAGGACTGCGTGGGGAAGATTTTTTTTTCGATGTTGTGATGCATTTATGTGTAAAAAACACATAGTGAAAATCAAAATATCTCAAGGGAGTCCAGTGCCTGTGTTCTAACCCTGCTTACAGCATTCCTGTGTGAGGCATCACCCACGGCAAAACATCCACCCAGCTCCTCACCAGTGGCCATTGTGACACTCCCAAAGCTTCCTGCAAGGAACAAACCCAAAGCAGCCCCCTTGGCTTTGATTTAATAACAGGGTCATTGTACACAATTGTGTGGACTTTGCCCTCTTTATTCCAGTGCTTCTGTACTTTCTACAGACCTGTGTACACAGTCAAACACACCACTCGTTACAAACCAGCTTAAAACAAACATCTCACTTGGCCAAACAAAAATCTTGCAGAGGTCCAAGATTAAAATGTTTCTTACAGCAGTGTCAGGAAGTTCTTTTCCCTGAACGTGGGCAATATTGCTTAAGGACTGGGATTTGGGATCCAGCAAAACCACCCCGTGTAACCAACTCACCTGAGCCTTTTAATGACACCTTGTAGCACACCCAGGCATCCCTGCTGCCCACAGACCTGGGCTGCAGCAGCAGCAACTCCCCAGGGAAGAGATTCACTCCCTGGGCCCTAAATGGACCCATGATCCTCATGGGATATCCTCATTTTGGGCCAGTCCTTGCAAGCACAGGAGTTTTGTTTCAGAGACAGGAGTGAAGCCAAGGGCCCAGACTGGAATTTGGGACAGTTCTGAACAGGAAACCCTCACCTGCTGCCAAGACTGCAGAAAAAGCTGAGCTTAAAACCTGCCATGGTAAGAGTGCAGGGCAAGATTACTCTGAAAACAAATGCCAGAAAAGGTTTGGTTATGTTCTTTAAAATGAAACAAATCTGAACATATTTAATAAAGCCTCTGATCTGGTTTTTATTTACCCCCTGTAGCAATTGTAGGAACATGGACAGATGAACTCAGAGTATGCCTGGATATCTCTGAGGCCCCCACTGCCACTTTTTTCTGGTATTTTACCCCCTGTGACGTAGAGAAGAATAATTTTCAAATTTCCAAAAGGGAAACTGAGGCACAAAGACCACAATTCAGCATTTGCAGGAATTTAACAGGTCACAGCCAGCTCCCTTTGAAAGCAGCTGGAGAACTGCAGCCCCTCTTGAAAATCTCAGCCTGAATCTCTCCTCCTCAAATCAGTCTCCTGCAGAGTCAGCACCGAATCCAAATCCAGAGTCCACCAAATCCTTGTTACTTGTAGGTAAAAGCATTGAAATGTTGGGGAGTGAGCCCTAGAAATACACATTTGGCACTTTCTCCTTAAAAAAGAATTAGACATACATTAATACTGGAACAGGCAAAAGAAATTTCATCTGAAAAAAAAAGATTTCCTCATGACCGTGTTCACCCAGGTTAGGGACAGATTTATTTAGATTTTCTACCAAAAGCTCGAGTTCTCAGCCTGCACAAACAGACTGAACTCCAGCAGTTCTGCTCACACACAGCAGCAGCATTTTTAACCCATCTCTGAGGTTTCAGAAGGATCATTTCCTCTTTTGGACTCTCTGGTGGAAGGCTGTTCATGTAACTACCACCCCAGCAGCCAAAACAATAAGATCAGCTTGATTTTGCACTTAAAAATAAATTCTTTATTATCCAGAAAGGAGCCAAATCATCATCTCACATCATGGAAATGGTCATTTGTAAAGCAATAAATAAGAGGAGTGTTCTGTGCAACACCTTTAATTTTGTCACTGGTCTGGTACCTCTCTGGTTAAAAGCATAAAACTTATGCTGTCAAAGTCTCACTGTACAACAGTCTGGGAAGGAAAGAAGGCCCCTAAAATCTTTTGCTAAAGCAACGACAGAAAAATCTGATTCAGTGAAACCCAAGTTCCAAACTGGGTTTCACTTCATTCCAAGGAATTTCATTCAAAGGAATGAAAGTTTCATCCCTTCCATGCACAAATGCAGTGCCTGACACACACAATCACCTTGTCTAGAATTTATACTGAATCAGTTCTTAAGCAAAAATTCTCTATTTACTGCTGCTTCAAACAATTTTTCTGTAATTTCTTACTCGAGCTGGGGGAGTTGCAGGAACAGCACAGGATACAAAATTTAACTTCTTCCAGCAGGAAATGAAAGTCAGGCTAAATCCACACAGCTACTCCAACAGCAGTAATTAAGAAATTTTAAAAATCCAAACAATTAGGGGCTAAAGAGATTTAAGAAACAATTAATAATGATGATTGTTCAAATCAATGCATTCAAAACATATGACTCCTATAGGAGACCATAACTTATGCATAAAACTGAGAACAAAACACCTTTCATCTTTCAATTTCTAAAGCAACAAAACAGCTTTGAAAGAACAGGTGTGAAGCAAGTAAAAAAATAATATCATATTATTCCAAACACTTTTATTTGTGAAAGAGTTTCCTGCATGGCCAAGGGACAGCAATGGAGTTACAGGACTACATGATTCAGAAAACAATGATGATTTTAATGGGCCTGGTTGTTTTCTGCCTTGACCAGTGATTTGGAGAACTGTGTTTTCTGTGCCTGAAGCAGTTCTGGGAGAGATCAATCCTTCCACTGCCTGCTCCTCCAGAAACACTTCTGGTTTTCATCCAGGACTGAAGGCAGAGGCACAAGAGCTGTGAATATCCACAAAAGTTCCACAGCTGCTGGAGATGAACTCGAGTTTACCTGCCTGCAGCTGATCCACCTCAGCCAATCCTCCTCAGACAAATCCTGATAAGCACAAGTACCCCTTGCTTTCACTTCTTTCTGAAAGCTTCATTAAAAATATCATTGAACCGTTATTAGAGAACAAGTTAAAGGTGACATTACCAGCATGGAAACTGATACTGGCCAGAATTCAGCTGCCAAGAGAACAATGAGCTGGCAGACTCTGAAAGGAGCAGTGACAGATGTTCCACTGGGCACTGACACGTGCACCTCACCAGAATCTGCTCTGTGGGTTTGGTTCCAGTGTCAGGTGTGGCTGTTCCAGGTTTAAAGCTCTGCCCAGCAGCAGCTGCAGGTCCTGCACCACTCCCCTCCACAAGCACCTGCCCTGCTGCCAAACCTGCACAGTTCAATGGCTTTGTGACATTCACGGATGTACTAAGAGTTTTCTGATAATGCTGGGGACACTTTGATATCACAGTCTGTACCTGTCTGCCAGGATCCTAAATATCAAAACGATTCAGGTTGTAGGAGGCTGGATAGCTCTGCCTGCTGTACTGGAAGTGGTCTGTGAGGACATTGCTGCGGCCGTACTGGAAATCCCCGTGCTGGGCAAAGGCCGCGACTCCGTTCTGGGATTTCTCGGGAGCGTTCCGGTGCCGTTCCAGGTTCACCAGGTCTCCAGTGGTGACTGGGAGCAGCTGCTGCTTCTTTGCCTCTTGGTTTGCATCGTATTTTGTCTGGGAAAGGAACAAAAGAAGTTTTGCACAGAATCTTTTAGGCTGGGATAATCTGAGATCATCAAGTCCAACCTGTGCCCCATCCCAGAGCCCAGAGCACTGAGTGCCACGTCCAGGCCTTCCTTGGGCACCTCCAGGGATGGGAAACTCCAAACCTCCCTGGGCAGCCCCTTCCAAAGCCTGACAACCCTTCAGTGAAGGTAGATTTTCTTAGATATTACCTAAGATATCACCTAGACATACTGACATACCCAGAAAAAAGCAGACAGTTCTACAGTCACATCACTTTTTTTGTTAAGAGTTTTAAAATATCAGTGCCTCCTAATAAAAACCTCACTCCTCTCACATGCCAAACAAACAAGCTGATCTTTTGCTCAAAAGATTTTGAGTTACTTCCCTATCTTCCCTTTTCAAGAAAAGCTTAAGATCAAAATTCAATTTTGTGAGAGGCCCAGCAGCTGGTGTGACCCAAATCCTTCACTTGGTCCATGCTCATCCCTCCTCTTCAACAGAGCCTCGTGCCCTCTGTGCCATCTAGTTTTGCTCAAGTAGCTCTTTAGTTGTACAAAAAATAATTCAAAGCCACTGGACTGCTTCAGCTGTGTTTCCTGGATGAATAAGCAAAGAGGTGCCTTACCTTGTTGTACAAGAAGACCCCCAGGATTGCTGTCATCATGCCCAGCACGTTGGTGCTGGTGACGGGGTTGCGCAGCATGATCAGGGACACGGTGATCACCATGATTCTCTTGGTGGCGTTGGCCACCGAGTAACTGAGGGGGCTGATCAGGTTAAGGATACTGAAGGCAATGACGTTCTGGGCAAAATTACAGAATCCACTGATTATAAGCAGCATCAAGGTCCAGGACCAATGAGACATGGTGCTCTGTTGGCAAAGCAAACAGCAGGAGGAAAAAAATTATCTGGGGTTTCAGGTAACAACACAAACACAGCCTGAGGCACTTCTTACCTGTCACTGGAGGGAGGAATGTCTGCACTGAGCTCTAAAGAGGCCCCCAAGCAGTTGCTTTATGCAACTCCCAGCTCAGAGAAACCAGAGGAGGACATTCCCCACACACTCTGGGAGTGTTTGTTCCTGTCTCCAGCTCCCAGTTCCTGAAATTTCTGCTGTCCCATAAACTGCCTCTCCTAACCCTGATGGGAATTCTCACAATAAACACTTTGTTAACTCCTGTGAAACAATTTTCAGGTGTTTCACAACACTTCCTTCCACACTGACAAGAACTACACTGAAACACTTCAGTGCACTTTTCTGGTTGGGTGCTGGAGTTTGTTTTTTATTTTTTTCTCTTTTCTTTCATAATAGCGAACAGTTGTCCAAATACAGCACTTACCAAGTCATTCTCTACCAAGAAAGAAGAAAGATCCACCAGAACCCACGTGGGGATCATGAAGAACACAGCGTGGCACCCGAGGATGTTCAGCAACCGAAGGTGATGAATTCGGGAATCTCTCAACACCTGACAAGAGCCATTATGGAACAGCAGTCAGGAAACAAACTGCTTGAGGGGACAAGTAATTAGGCCAAAAAGTAAATACTCTTACAGTATTAATTTCCTATTAGGGTGACCAAAGAAAAACTGATGTCTCTTTGAAATACAATGTTTTTTTGAGTGGTGGCTCTTAGTATCAACGAGATATTAATATTCAAAGCTCTACAAAACAGAAACCATTTTGTAACTAAATAGAGCCAAACCACACACTTTAATTTTGTTTCTGTGGTTTCAAGGAGTACCCAGTGTTGACAGTGACTTGTTCAGCACAGAGGAATGATTTGATATAACAAGATACATTAAAAGCTTTCAATGAACTGTTAAATTTAGTCACTATTGAACTGCCATGAGAAAAAAAAATCCATGTTGAGGAGTAAAGCAAACTCAGTGTAACAGCTTCAACAGGTAGGAAGAGGTGCAGAGAACACACAAACACAAATTAAGAACCATCCCTCTGGGCTTGTCTGACTGCAAAGCCAACTAAAAAAAATACATTTATGTAATGGAAATGACACCCTGTCCTGCTGAAGGGTGACACCAGTGAACAGAGCTGGTACCTTCTTTGAGAAGATGTTCTGAAGTGAAAAGCACAGAGTAGCAGCAAGTGCACTGATGAGTCCCCACATGTCAAAGGACAGCTCTGTGACCGTGGCCAGCAGGACACCAGTGATGATGGGGATCAGAGACAGGTACACCTGGAGCAGGGACAGAGGGGTACATTGCATCAACCGAGTTTGTACATCCTGCTGATTTAGAGATCAACCATTTTACTATTGTAGTTCAAGGAAATTTAAGTCATTGCAGTAGACACTGGCAACTCCAGTGCATCAGACTGCACCACCTGGTCATTGTTTAGATGTGTTTTACACTCACAATAAAGGGATTTAAAAAATCTTCATAATCTAATTCCAGTCACAAAATCCACCCAAAGCCCGAGCTCTGCTGCCCCCAGCCAGCACAGGACCCCTCGAGCACAGCCAAGAAAAGAAACCTCAGCAAACCTGTCCGCACCTTCGTCGTCTGCTTTTCCTTCATGATGATCCGTGACAGCAGAACCACCCAGATCGGCATCGTGGCTTTCACTGGGGATGGGAAGAACAACGGTGGGGACCTGGGGCTTGGGACAGCTCCATCGACCACCACGAGCAGAGGGATGGAGCAGGGGCTCGTCCAGGCCCAGCACAGCCCAGGGTGGGACCTCCCTCCCTGTCACCATCCTGGACACTTGTACAAACTGGATCTTGGTGCTCTGGGACACCGTGCTGGGCACCCACAGGGCACAGACTGGGGCACTGCCCCTGGATCTGGTGCCAACACACACTGAGGATGGGGACACTGCTCTGGGCATCTCTATGAGCACACACAGATACTGGGACACTGCTCTGGGCACCTGTGTGACACACACTGGGGATGGGGACACTGCTCTCGTATCTCAGGGATACCACAGCAAACAGCGGGTACCGAGACACTCACCATGTACCCATACGAGCACACACCAGCTTTCAGGTCACCCCACTGGGCACGAATTCAAGCCGGCTCCCAGGACAACCCCCCGGGCACCTCCTTAGATGCTGGAACACCCCCTCGAGCACCCCGCAGCCCTCGGCCCTCACCTGTGTGCGCGTAGGACACGGGGACCCTCCAGAGCGAGACGTGCGCGGACACGGAGGCGAAGTACTTGCCGAAGGCGAGCGGGAGGATGTAGCGGGGGTAGGCGCGGGGCGGCAGCTGCGCGGGGCCGGCGGGCGGGACGCGCCAGGCGCGGAGCAGCGGCGGCAGGAGCCCGCACAGCCCCAGGATGTGGAACAGCGAGACGGTGACGGGCCTGGGGAAGCCGCCGAGCAGCAGCTTGTTCACCACGTTACCGCCGGCGCTCAGCCCGTACCAGGCGAGGCACAGCGCCGACACCCGCGCCCCTTCCCGCAGCGCCGGCCCGCGCCCGCTCCGCGCCGCTCCCGCCCCGGCCCCGGCCCCGGGCCCGGCCCCGGCGCCGCCCGGAGCCGCCAGCGGCGCCGCCATCGCTCCGCAGCTCCGAACGTCAGCGCGGCCGCCAGCGCGTCGCTTCCTGGGGCGGGGCGGGCGCGGCGCCGGGGCGGGCTCGGAGCGTCACTTCCTCCGCCCCGCCGGGTGCCCGCACCCTGGGTGCCAGCCCCGCACCCTGGGTGTCAGCCCCGCACCCTGGGTGTCAGCCCCGCACCCTGGGTGCCAGCCCTGCACCCTCGGTGCCGGCCCCGCACCCCCGGTACCAGCCCCGCATCCCCGGTGCCGGCCCCGCACCCTGGGTGTCAGCCCCGCATCCCCGGTGCCGGCCCCGCATCCCCGGTGCCGGCCCCGCATCCCCGGTGCCAGCCCCGCACAGCCCCGGCGCGGGGCGATGGAGCCCGAGCGGTTCCCGTGGCCCGGGACGGTGTCTGGGGCCGCAGAGCCGCCTCCAGGGCAGCGCCGGCCCTTGGACACCGGAGCCCAGGGCAGCCACAGGGCAGGGACGGAGCGAAGGTCACGGGCTCGCAGGCAGCGAGACGATCGCTCCCGACCTTTAAAACCAACGCGAGGGACGCGCAGCGCCGGCTGGGGTGAAGGATGGGTGAGTACCTGCAGGCAGGAGGGGTTGTAGAACCCGGTTCATCCATACACGAGACATTTCTAGAGCATTCATTTGCCCATAAAAACACGCACTTTAGGTAATGGTGACTCCCCAAAGATTTGCTGATGAGCCATTTCACATGTCAGCCGTTGACAAGGAAGAAATGGCAGTGTTTTAACTTCAGGTTTTAGGACTAGGAGAAATTTTGCGAGAGAAAAAGCAGTAGCAGAGAAACTGAGTCATGCACAAATGAGAGTACACAGCAGGTACGCACATGGTAAACTTCATTTGAACTTGTTTACAAAATTGACAAAAAAATATCACCTTGTAAACTTATTCACATTTGTTGGAGCTCACAGAACTGGTTATACTGGCATGCTGAAATAAAGATTGTCAAGCCTCATCTCACCCTGGAGGACACACAAGTGAGTTGACCCCTTACAGCAGCAACAAACTCAGCAATGAACAAGATTTAAAGCTTGCATTGGGAGGGAATTTCTCCAGCAGTTTTCGTACCACCAGGGAAAGGGCTGGGTCTGATTCCTGATGCTTCCTCAAACAGAGGAGCAGCAGCACAGGCAGTTTGGGTGTAATCTGGAAGCTGTGATGAGCTTCGGGCATCACCTCACCCAGTGCAGTCAAGGGCCATCAATTGCATCAGAAATGGAAGCAATGGAGAAAAAGATGGAATTTATCAAGTAATACTTCGTCATTTCCTGAAATTTGGGAATATTCAAAGGCCTCCAAAGAGCACGGACCCTGTTCCTAAATGGGACCATTCAGGGAAGGAGGGAGGAAGGAGGGGGAGAGAAGATGCACAGAACTTTTTTACATAAACAGAACTTAAGCATTTCCAAAATGACCAGCAGCTTAGCCCTCTACCATCAAATCTGAACTGCAAGGCAGGAGCTTCCCCAGCTCTAAACCACACTGCTCAACCACAGCAACTGCAGCAGGACAAAATGGAAGTAAACTGAAAATATACTTGGATGCATTTTTTGGTAACCACTTTCTGGTTTCACTCTCAGACCTCAGATTTCAGAAAAGGAAGCACACAGACATTGTTATTTCTGAGATACCCACACATTTCAGTAACAGTCAGATCATAAATGATGAACAAGAATGACTTAAAAATAAATCAAACTTCATCAGTTGTATTCCAGGGAACGAACCAACACAATGCAGGCCTGGCCAGGAGCACCCTCCTTTGAAAACCAGGGAAGAGCTTGACTCTCAAAGGCAGCACAACTCTTGCCAAGGCTCATCTCCAGCACAGATGGGTTAACAGAGTTAACATCACTAAACCCAGGAATATTTTTGGTATAGTGTCCCCCTCCCCTGACCCCCTGAACAGAAGCCCAACACTGGGGACTGCATCAAACAACATAGTCCCAAATATTAAAGCAATAACAGTTAACAGAAATCCTTCACTTTCTTCACCCCAGGCTGCTTCAGAAAGCACTGTAACAATTAGGAATAAAACATTACAAAGTTACTGAGACGAAAAGATGAACTCTGATCTCTTTAGACTTTGAGGTACATTATCAGCAGTTGGGTTATCAGTCTGCAGAGTTAAAAACAGATCCACCCTGTGTGACTGAACAGCACACCAGGGCTCTTGGAAGACAATCCCGTTATCCCTAGGGCAGTGTCCGAGGGATTGGGCTCCACCTCCCTGCTCCGAGGGCTCCCAGTGCCAGGGCTCCCTTAGCTGGGCTCAACTGAGCAAACTTGGGGGCGAAAAACGAGTGGAGTGTATATAAATAATTCACAAACTGGTTTGTGCAAATTTTTTTTATTTCCACATTTATATCACAACGTGTCCACTTAAAGGACCAAATAGCAAAGTTGCTCCCTTCTGCATCCCAGGAACACAGAAGTCTAGTTACTGTACATTCACTAAGGCTCTTTGTTTTTGCAAATTGCGTTTATGATGGATATCCATAAGGCAAACAATATCTAAAGGAATGGTAACAAGTATATTTCCAGCATACAAACAGGCTTCCTTTTTCCCTCTCACAGTACAGTTACAAACTTGTAGCACCCTCATTACATTTAGATTCTAGAAAAGGTGATTTTTCTTTTTGTTTTTTTTTTTTTTTTTTGGTTTTTTTTTTGTCTTTTTGTTTTTTTTGTCTTTTTGTTTTTTACCTATAAGTTTGCAGGAAGGGAAAAGGAGGAAAAATATTTGGCTGGTGGTGGTGGGATCAAAAAATATCATTAAACATCTAGTTTTTGCAGCATTTCTCAGAGACTGGATTTAAACTGAAACCAGACTAAAATATGTGGATGCCTATGGAATGTTGAGCTGAAGCTGGTGGCCCAGCCTGCAGTGCAACACCTGCTGTTTAAAACCCAATCTCCGTACCACATGACTTAAATAACGCAATCATGTTCAGAGATGTGATAGAAATAAAACTACAGTTTTTGCACATTGTCTCTCGAATATCTCACTGCCAAATAAAAACCCAAATCAAGTCAAATAAATAGATGCATATTTTGTTAAGGTAACTTCCACAATTTTTTTTCTCTGTACCTGCCTGTAATAAGATTCCGGCATTCACAAAGTGCTGGAAATCCTCTTCACTTCTTGGGGACTAACACTTTTTATAGCTGGCTCGCTATAGAGTTTTGAACTCAACTGATCAACCTTCGTATGCCTTCCTTTGCAATTGTTAGTAAACTGGTAGCAGCATTTCACAAAAGGAGAATTTAAAGGAACGAGCTGGAAAGGCCCAGCTCCCTCCCCCCCTCTGCTCGTGGGGCCTGTTTGTCCAGGACAGGAGGCTCTCTCCAGCTGGAAGTGGCATCGTGTCTGCCAGTTCTGCTAACTGCAGGTGGGAAAAGCGTGCTTAGCAGAACTGCTCTCAGTCTAGGCAGACGTAAGGCAGGATGTTCAATCTCCCATCATCCCCATGTGGATCTAAGGATATGCACTGTGTCCAATCATACCAGTTACCCTGTGTGTCATAACAACCGTTCACGCCTGGCCAGTTGTGGTCACGTATTCTGTCGAGGTCATCGCCCGTGACCTCTCTGGTGACCCCAGGCAAGTCTGTAGGTTTGCTGTTAGGAGCTAGAACGTGAGTCTTTCTAGCCTCTTTTCTAGTGCTTTCCTCCTGCTTTAAATACTCAGACATGAAGTAGTGAGCTCCTGGAGTCTGTACTCCTGATGAAGACAGCAAGCTACTCTGTCTGTTTAAATATGACTGAATGATTTCGTTTCTGGACAATTCTTTCCAGTTCGTTTGTTCAAAGGGGCTTTGCAGGTTGGGTTTTTGCTCCTGCTTTTCCGTTTCTGTCCTGTGCTGTTCAGTAAGTGCAGGGATTTCTACCTGCAAAGGATCTTTCGGTGTTAAAGGTTTTATCTGTCCTGTCATGGGATCAAAAGTGAGTTTTCTCTCTTTTAACCTCACAGGTTTCACACCCCCATCTGTCTCGTGCCCATCCAAGTTGACTGTATAGTCTCTGGGTCGGTACCTTTTCTTCTTTTTGCTATCAGACCCTGAAGCAGCATCGTCACTGTCCATTCTGGAAGTGTCCTGTGGGAAGCCCATGTGTGATTCCCCGGGGTGGGCTTTGCAGCCGGGAGCCGTGTGCTGCTGAAGTGTCCCTGCTGTGTGCCTGTGCTGGCCCTCGGGGGCTCCCTGCTGCTCCTGCCAGTGCTGCTGTGCCTCAGGGGCTGCCTGAGGAGGGAACTCCAGTCTCTTGGCTGGCAGGGGAGGTGTGGATGGTTGCATCAGGGATGGCGGCGGCGATGGCACCTGTGCGGCGTCTGCGAACTGAGACCTTTGAGATGGACTGGGCATCGAATCCTTTGGTGAGTACGTGGTGTGCTGCCGAGCAAAAGTATCATGCCTAACGTTCCTGGGGCTAAAGGAGGAGCAGCGTGGGCTCTTGGGCTGGTGGGGGCCCGTGGCTTCTTCTGATTTATCATGCTGCTGAAGCACTGCAGTCTTTAGTAACGAGGAAGTGCTTGAGGGTTTTACAAGTCCTGGAGAACTGGTGTGAGGTTTTACAGCATTTACTGGGATCTTATTGTGTTTATCGTTTTCACTGAGATCTGTCCTGCTGCTTTCGGGCCCTGCGTGTAGGTTTATGTCTACAGGACTAGGAAAATTTTCAGGACTACCTCCAATTCCATTGGTTGGAGGGGGTGAAGAGTTTTGTAATACTTCATGACTAGCTTTGGAGACCTTTGGGGGAGGAGGGCCCTGATGGCCATCCCTGTGATCACCTTTCCTTTTCCTATTTCCCAGTTTCTCTGTTTTGGGAGAATTTAGTTTCTGGATATCATTCCTGCTTTTCAGTTCGCTGATGGGCTTGGCGCCGGGCACAGCAGGGAGTTGTGAGTCTGGTTTGCAGTTGTGGGCACCTCCATTTGCTGATCCTGGTGGGTTGGGCAGCCCCCTTGGCACTGGCTCGTTCTGGGTTACAGGTTCTATCAACTTCTGCCAATTCCGCAACAATTTCTTGGCACGTTTGGCAAGTTCCTCATTGGATGTCTTCTTCCTCACCTCATTGATGAGCCTCCCGAGTCTGGTTTCCTACAAAGACAGACAAAGTGTTTTACAAACACACATCATTCCAAGCAAAATTCTCAAGGAATGCTTCTGCTTTGTAATGTTCACCCCTGAGAAACACCTGGTTAAAAACACTAAAGATTAAAGTGCTGAATTAATCTTTTTGGAAAGGATTAGTCCCGTGCTCTGCCACACAAGATGAAACCGCCTGTAGGTTTCAAGTCACACTGTCTTTATTCCCTGGTAAAAACATCAGAAAGGAATTCTTTAATGAGAAAGAACCATAAGAATAAGGGTGCAGGTTCAGATTTGAGGGGGAAATGCAGCACCCAAAGGTGTGTGTTTATCACAAGGGAAGTGTAAGATCTGCAGAGAGAGCCAAGAGAAAAGGATTCCAGGATCTTGGCCCGTTCCAGTAACTCATTAACAATAAAAATCTCCGTTTGACAAACCTGACTACCAGGTGTGAGTTGTGTCCTACCTTTTTCCTCCACCTCTCTCCTCTCCCTTCACTCCCCAGCCTTGTGGAAATGTATGAAAAAGCCATTTAAAGAACATTCCCAGGGTGTCCCAAGGTGGTTCCATGAGCGGAAGGAAGTGTTTGATTGTTCCCAAAGCACATTTGAAAACAAAGAACTGTTCCACAAGTCAGATTTCTTAAGGAAAGCACTTCAAAGGAGAACACACACCAGACTGTGAGAGAAATATGCAACCTGTTGTGATAGATATGTTGAAATACAGGTGGAGTTGTAATTAAGCAACAGTTAAAAGCAAGAACACCGCTAATTTCAATACAAAGACTGAAAAAGAAACATAGAATTCAGCCATAAAACTTCTTTGGACTGTTTCTACAAGTGGCCAGTGAGAGTTCAGCTCTTCTTACACCTGAGCTCACCACAAATATCAGGCCTTGAAACTTGCTCAACTGCATTTAACATAAATTTTACAGACCCAGAGCAACTCTATTCCTGATTTTAGGGGCTTGGTCACCAAATGTCTACAAAGGTGACCAGAACTGCAGGGTGATATTGCTGAGTGCAACAGAATTAATCAGTGGCAAGTGATGATTAATGTAGTGCCCTGCACAAACAGGAACTGTGCTGCCCAGAATACTGATCTGGGCCCAGAAAGGATCCCTGTGTTCAGCGAGATGTCGGAAGCAGCACGAGAGGGACAAAATAATATCTTAATTGTGAATCCTTTGCAATCCATCTATTGTTTCCAGAAAAGCTCCGATGGAAATTAGAAAGGCAGGAAAAAGTCCTTTTATACACATTAAAAAATCATGTTCAGAGGGTGACATACCTCAAGTGCCTCTTTGGTAATGGGATATTTCTCCAGGCTGGAGATCACTTCCAGCACTGCCACCATGTTATGGATCTGCAATAAGGAAGACAAAGTCACTTCATGTTTCATGTACTGGTCTTAGTTAACAAATGTAATTTAAGACCTTCCACTTTATAATTGCTGGAAGCATTAATCACAAACTGCTATCAGACTGTCTGGCTTTAGGGAGCTGATTGTTCAAGGAATAGGGACAAGGACACTTTTACTGACCTAGTTGGAAACTGCAGGAGCTGTAACAAACACACTCTTATGTAAAACCCAAGGAAACAGTGGCAATAAAACTGCTGTGACTGAGTAACAAAGTTCTGAGACCCCTCTGCAAAGCATCCATGAACAGTGCACAGCCTAAGGAGGGCCAAGGGGAGCAGGAGCAGCTGTTGGTGCCACGGGAAATGGGGAGTTTAATCCTTCAGGCCCCACTGCAGACTGCCCCAGGCCACTGCTCTGCAGTTTCATTCCCAGGCTCACTTCCTGCACTGCACACAGGATCTCAGCCTGCAGGTCCCTCCCTGGGCTGGGGCTGTGCCCAGCAGGTGTCCCCAAACCATCAGGCTCCTCCACCACCCCTTGCTGGGGCTGTGCTTGGGGAGGAGGAACTGCACAAACCCACATCCACTGAAAAAGTGAGGATCAGCTTCTCTGATGGGCAGCCCAGCTGTACATCCTGCACATCCTCAGCACGTGTGTGACTTCAGTGGTTTCCAGGAGAAACCACACAATACATGTTTTAGGGGCTTAGTTTAGAGGTGAACATGGCAGTGCTGGGTTGGACTCATTAATCCTGGAGAGCTTTTCCAATCCAAACGAGTTTATGATCCTACAGAGAGATCCTTCTTTCCATTACCTGATGTTAAGAGCGCTGAAACATGAATTTCTAATTCACCTTAGGAGATAGATTTAAAAGATAAGCAAAGGAAAACTTGAATCACAGTCTCATTTATTGCTTAATTGCATTTGTGACTCAAGTGGATGTGAAGTGCATGTGAGAAAAATCTCTCAGCAAGAACCTCTGCAGGGATCCCACATCATCCTGAAATCTCATCAGGAGCATCATCATCACCATCATAATCATTACAGGCAGCTCTGCTCTCCCAGCCACACACTCCCCTGCATGACCCCTCCTCTTAAAAACACTGACTTGTGTAAGAATTGGCTTTTCCAAGTCAGCTCTACCTCTGCACTAAGATACCACAGGAACACCAGGAGCTGAAGTCTCTTCCCTGCAGAAAACCTTGGGCTCAGACCATGTTTTGTCCATCCCTGCAGGACTGTTCAGTGCTGGAGATATCTGGGTAATGCTGTCAGTGATGAAACACTTGTCCTGATTTTTTGATGCACTTTTATCAAACTTATGTTTAAAGTTCATGCAGGCTTTGAATGATTCTAACTCCTATAGGGTGTAAAACCAACTCCATTTGCTCTGGTTCTTTCTTCAGCCTGCAGATATTTAAAGCCCTACCATGAGGTCAGGCCTGGTAAAACTGTGCTTAACCTTTAGAGCAGCAAGAGCACCTATTCTGACATATTTTAATTCTTATTATTTCACTTCAGTGCACTGACCTTCTTCCATGTTTCCACCCTCGCCCTGCCCTCAGTGCCCAGGAAGGACAGTTTAGCACCACACTTTAAGTAATACACAACATCAGGGTTGTTTTTCTCAGTTTTTAGAACCAGAGCCCTTAGAATAGTTAAAGCTCAATTCTGGGAGTTTCCAGACAAATATTTTTAAACTTGCAAAACACGATACTCTCCTTCCCAACACATATTTTAGACTATGAATTACCAGGGTGAAAAAGGCTCTGTTGCACACACCATTAACTGGCACAATTATTTTTTCAGTTACCGGTAATCCCCAAATTTTCATTATCTAAATGAAGAACTGATGGCAAAAATAGGGTGATTGGCCTATCAGAAGGTCAAGATGGGGAAAGTGATACGTTCAGGTGCACACACACCTACAGAAAGGTGAAACTGCTCAGGGAATTTCCAGTCACAGCTCTGCCTTTGTTCAATACCCCCCAGCCACACAGCAGTGCATGCCCCAAATGCTAAAGCAGCCCCTGGGTGTTCAGCAGGCTGTGACTTCCCTCCCTGCTCTGGGGGACACGTGGTGCCAATTAAGGACAGTGAAAGTGGCCTTGCACCCTCAGCTCCTGCTGGAACACAAACCACCCCCTTTGGATTCCTCACACATTTGTAACCAATTGGGAACGCGCTGTCACTGCCGAGCAGGGCACGAACATCTCGCTCTCCACACAACTGCCAGCAGCTCCTCTCATTTTCTATTTTTTTTTTGACCTGTAGCAAAGCTTCATTCTTTGAAAATAAATGCATAAAATGTTTAAGCATGTTCAAAAACTTCTCTCCCTTCCCGTTGTGAAGTTTTCTCAGGATGTTTCATCCAAAATGCCATAAAGAGAAACTTACAGTAAAAATCGTATTTTCCTATTTTAAAACAACGCAGATTATGAAATTTCTTGTAGTGCAGTTGAACACAGTGATGGAAACAAGAGGACCTCCCAAAACACCTCAAGTATCACCTGTTCATGGGAAGACAGCACAGAGATAGCAGCAGCACACCCACCCTGCACACCAGTATCTCCACCTTAACCCAGCTGTTACACTAAAATCCATACATTGTCACACAACCAGAGTGACACTAATGTTACCAAACCTGCCAGGACACCATCCTGCTTTGAGCAGCACCAGAAATGATAATTTATTAACACAAAGGGCTACTGAAGATGCTTACTGGGAAGAGGACAGGGAATTCAGCAGCCCCACTCCCTTTGGACACCGGGCAGGGCTGCAACTGCCCAGGTCAGTGTCTCAGGAATTTGCATTTTAGTTTCTGTGTGCCTTTGTCTGCTCACACTGCAACCCCCAAAACAACTTCCAGGACCCCCAGTTCGGAGCTGGCAGCAAACAGCTCAAAATAACTGATAAGTAATTGATGCAGCATTCCAAATTCTCCCATGCTGCTCCCACGTTGAGAGCACTGACTGGCACACAGAGTAATTCACTCAAAAGTTTACTGGAGAACATCTGCTTTGAGTCATCCACGATAATCCTTTCCAGCCAACCCTAATGACAGCCACAGAAAACAAATCTTATTTATTCCATGCAAGGCTCCTTAAGTCATCCAGCCATTCAGCCATACTCTGCAGCTTACTATTGCTGAGATATTTTCCAAGTTAAGCACTGAATGTTTTTACTCCAGCCTCAAACAAAAGCAGAGGTTTCTGAACTTTCAAGAAAAGATCAAGCAGCTTAATTTTCTTTTCTTAACTGCCATCTTAATCTTATTTCAGCATTTATAAACCAGGACCAAGTCAGTGACCAATTTCAGGGTGTTACACAGCAGTTTAAAGGGGTTTTGGGGAAGGTTAAGATACAGCTGTTCCCTCCCACCTCCACTTCCACTGCTGCCTTCCCAGGAAATCTGAAAGCAGCAGCAAGCTCAGCATCCATCCAAGCTCTGCCACCATCTCCAGGTGCTGGGATGTGTTTTCTGTGGGACCAGCACACTCCATGGGATGCTTTGATTCTCTTGCTTTGCTTACACACCAGCCCAGACCCCAAGCACAACGTGAGCACCCCCAGAACACCTTCCTGTCCTCCTGGGGACTGCCTGGACACACAGCACAACCTGCACCCCCCACTGCAGCCTGAAAAACAAATGTTACAGAAACTTTCTATTGCAGACACTCAGATAAAGGAACGATTTTCTTTTTTTAATATTTCACAGGGATGTTTCCAAAGATCTTGCATGCATGACTAGATTGTGACAGACGACAAAGCAGACCTGAGTTAGCTGGAGTAGGAGAAGCATTCTCTGTATAACATGAAAAACTCAATGCACAATTCCAAAAACTCGCAGTGAAACTGCTCATGCAGATTCCTGCCATTCTGGTAGAAAGGTTCTTTTCAACCACAAGGTCAGGTAACAGTGCTAAAGGCATCACTTGATACAATAACAGCATCCTGGGTCACATTAGTGCCTTCACAAGTTTCTAAAGGATACTTAAACTTGGCCTGGAGTCGCCCATCACTGACAATCTTCTAAAACCAAAGTGTAACACCATCATCATCCTCCTGAAATCACAACAATCACAGCCTGACTCCACCGTGGCCATAGTGAACAGAGCACACAGGTATCACAACACACTGCTTTGGACAGAATGCATTTGCCATCATACTTAAATACTCCATCAGAATATCCATAACTCCTCAAAATTTCCATGGTTTCAGAGAAAGTATTTCTGTAACACTGTCCCACCTGTAGCACCAAAGCAGTTTGACAGAAGCAAGAAGAGAAGTGGAGACACTGTGGGAGGCTGAACAAGTCTTTCTTCTTCCTACAAACACAAATCCAGGTGTCTGTTGCCATGGTGGTGGTTTCTGGTGGCAGCCAATACCAGCAGTAGGGTCCAGACAGAAGTTCACAGAAGCATTTGTACATTTTTTTGTCTTCCCCCTGCTCCAGGGCCGTGTATCTCCTCAGGGAGTGCAGGAAAATGTTCAAGCAAATCCCAGGTTCAATACTGCTGGAGAGGCCAGGAGGCAGAGCTGATCCCAGGAGGTGCAATGCCTGCTCCAGGAGTGATGGCATCGCTGCTGTTCCTTCTCCTGGAGCTCTCAGTGTCACCTGCAGCCCAGCACCAGCTCCTGCTCCACACTGGGGTCCCCCCTCAGTGTCACATCTTGCCCCAACACCGCTTTTGTACAAAACCTACTTCGCTGCACAATAATCTAAAATATGGAATAAGAAGTGAGGAGAGAAAAGTTGCTATTCACAGGAGGCTTTATTTAAATGTGACAACAGCAATCCAGTGGTGCAGAGTTTATTTAGCACTTTGTGTAGGAACTATGAGACACCACACACTGACAATACACACCACCAACAGAAAATTGTAATGGCATTTGTTCAAAGGTACAGACCAAACACACCAAGTCAGAATTCAGGTTACAAACCTGCTGGTATTTAGTTCAGTTCCCTTGCAGCTGATCTATTAACAGTTCCCCTTAGCCCC